AAAAGTCGTTGGTGCTGCTGCTCCAGCTTTCCTCCCAGCCTGCTGTTTAGATCCGTTTCATTCCACATGAGCTCTCCTGCCATTTGTGCTGCTGTCGTAGCTGAGACCTTTGCAGTAGTTCATCGCTGACATGACCAATCTTCTGTCACATATGCTTCTTTTTTCCTTTTCTTTTTCTCAAGGAGAAATTGTAAGTGGCATACAGTGCTTTTGGTGGAAGGCTTTTCTTCTTAATGTGACTGCTATTTCAAGTTCATTTTGCTGAATACAAGTCAAAGATGCTTGTTAAAGATGTGTATCTTACACTTAGAGAATAAGCAGATTTAAGCATTTACTGATTTTTGGACAAGAGGTTATTTGATTCACAACGTTGATCAAGTCTCCATGAAGTTCTCCCCTGTTGAGCTTTGTCTTTGTGGGTGGTGAACTTTCAGTGTGTCTGAAGAGATGACATGTGATGCTTTCTTCTTGCCCTAGGGCTGAAAGTTTTCTCTTTAGTTTTTGCTCCGAGCTACTGAGAATCCTACTAGTGAAAAACAAGGCCAAAGTTTTGGTTGGTTGCTTTTCTGTTCTTTGAGAAGGCATGATACGAAGATGAAAATAGCTTTTACATCTGTGCTATAATGTGCATTTCTAAGAAATTTGCAGAATTTGTTGAAGGGCAATGGCTTCTTGCCCAAGTGTATTACACTGCAGTATTTAAGCTGCAAAGAACCAAGTGCACATAACTGATGTTCTATCATTTCCTGCCTGGATGAGATGAGGTTGCTCAACTGGAGGTGGAAGAATACCTCACTCTCAGAGCCTTGATATGAACTTGACATTATTGTGGAACCCGGGAGTACTGAACCGAGTGCAGTGATTTTGGGTGTATGTCTTCAACCAAGCAGACTTTATGGTCTGCGTAGTGGCTATAAAACCTCAGCCAATGCCATTTTGGGTGTTCTTCTTCCCTGAGCTCAGTTTTGACTATCTGTATAATCTTTGAGCTGACATCTTCCTGAGCTGATAATGATAGGATTATAGCTGTGAGTGCTGAAGTTATTACTCACTGGGTAGATCCCTTAAGGAGGGGTTCAGGCTATACTCTTGGATCTCTGCCAGGATCTTGCTTCATCAGGTGGGATAGTAGTGTCTGACAGCTGACAGGAGAAAAGTCATGGCAGAGGAGAAGGAGCCTGCTGGTCCAAAGAAAGCAGTCATTTGTAGAGCTACGGTTCTGATGTTTTGCTAGAGATTTCTAAATCTATTTTCTTTAAATGCTACTGCTCAAAGTATGCATTACCACTGTTGGCGATAAGTGTATGTAGGGCAAGTTCAACTACCATCGTCTAGTTCCTGGAACTGGAAGATAAGACAGTCAGCCTCCCAGAATGTCTCGAGCAGAGCTGTTCCCCGGAAGCTTTCATGGGAAGCCAGTGGTGCCGGCAGCACTAGACATGTTGTGTAAGGAAGAGGTGATAGTGAGAATTCTGGGAAGGGTGGAAAGAAGGAAAGAAAAGGGAGCAGCAACTCAAAAGGGAGCAAACAAGAGGTGGATGCGTTGGCAGCAGCTTCAGAAAGGTAGTTGTGGAGGCTTGAATGTTTCTGAGTCTGTATAGTGCTGTACAGAGGAGGACATGTTTGGCTGTTCAAGCAGTGTTAATGGCCAAATGCTTCTTTCACAATTTTTTAGACTGCTTGCCAGAACATCTTTGGTACATCTGGTTGCACTCTGCAGGTCAGGTCTAGAGTTACCTAGACAGTTGTGATGGCTGATGCCTGTTTGCAGTTTGCTGTGTAGGTTCCTTTTAAGGGACAGTGGCTCAGCTGTGGAAAGGAAGGCTAGTGTTTGTCATGTCCTAAGGTGCACTTGATCCGGTAGAGCCCTCACAGGGAGGGGGAGATAGTGCCAGCTGGACTGCAGTGTAGGGCAGCCAGCGAGGCAAGAAGGATGAGGGACTGCCTCGGTGAGTAAGAAGTCAGAAGAAAAAGCAGAAATTAGGAGTCTCCTGAGAGAAGGCAATAGCATAAACACAGTTGGATCTTAAGGAATAAAAAGAGAGGATTGTCTGTGTCTCCCCAGAAATGACCCTTCAGCAAGCCTGAAGAAATGAAACATTTTCAAGGACGTGTGAGCAGAGAAAATTTGGTCTACAAAATTTTTTATTTTTTTTTATTTTTTTATTCTATTTTACCCAGCAAATGTGAGTTTTCCTGCTTTATGTTCCCTTAATCTGCTTTGTGTTGGGGTCCTCTTGCAGCTGTGCAGTTGCCCTGTTTGACTTATTTCCTGGATATTTGTCTTGGGAATGAGTCAGAAGCAAGGATCTTTCTGTGGTTGCATTTGGGAGATAATTGCTGCCTTAATAGTGTTGCAAATTTGCACTACCTTTTGGGCCAAAATCTGAAGACAACCCCCAGGGTGCAGGTTACATATTTTGCTTGTTGGATAGAATGTCTTTGCTTAGCAGAGACTAAAGGCTCAGCATTCCACAGTACTTACAGGTTGTCAGTAGTGTCTGTGACATGCTGGAGTCAAAGGCTAAATGTTTTTTGATCTAAAATCAAGATACATAGAAAGTAGGACAAAAGATCACTTTAGAGATAGCCATTACTTAGGATTTTTATTCATAATTATTCTAAGTTCCTTTCTGATGACAATGTGGAAGAAGTGGGCTGATTTATAGGGGTTACAGTGAGGAAAGGATTGAGTTTGAGAAACAGAATTCGTTGTGCAGAAGAAAACACTGTAAATTGGAGAGAGAGACGTGGGAGAAACAAACAAACAGACTCGGACTTTGGCAGAACAGAGGAAGTATAGAGAACCCAACAGGAGACCCGTTCTGCAATGTAAGCTGCATCTGGCTTGTGCATGACTTGAAAGAAAAATGATAAGGGGTTAGCAAAGGGAAACAGTGGAAGGTACCAGGGAGAGGTATTTTGTATTTCACAGTGGAGTTAGACGTTGTTACTAACTTGGTTTTAGGTGGACTGTAGAAGGAAGCTAGAGCCTGGAAGCTAGGAGAAAGGAAAGCATCTAAAGTATTCAGATTTGAATAAGGATGTTATTGGAGAAGATGATCTTAGTGATGGAATGTCAGACTTTGGAGGAAACAGATGTAGTTCCTATGTGGATGTGGGGAGATACAAGGAAAGGAGGTATTGCCAGTGTAAAGGGGAGAATGGAAATAATGTCTTGGGAAATCAGAAGAGGAAATGGAATCAGTGATATAAACCTGAAATATGAGTAGAGTATCCAGGAGGAACTATTAAGAAAAAAAGCTGCTTCTCTATATAGACAAGAGTTTTGCAAATAATCCATCTGGGGATAAAATTTAGGAACAATGCATGAAATGTGCAAGTTAATTTGAAGAGTTGTGAATTTAGAAATGTGAAGTCCTTCACATGTCCACCATACCAAATAAAGATTCTGAGGCATTTAAAAAAAAAAAAGAAAGAAAAAAAAAAAAGAGCACTTTAGCAACAGAAATCCTGTAGAAAGGATTTCCAGGAATATTTTTTTACCTATCTGCCTGTTCTCGTCTGTGTCAACCTGCCATTTTCTGGACTCTTGGCAGTGTTGAAAACCCTGTTACCTCTCAGTGCATACTATTGATACTCTTATTTCCATCAAACCTCTGTGTCACTGTCTTCTCTAGATTTGGCAAAATGTAGTCACTTTCTTGTTCCTCTTCAGCCATACATCTCTGCCTTCCACATTCTTCTATGCCATATTAGATTTTTATTTTCTGGACCTGATGTATATAACTTTTTTCTCTACTATACATCAGGTCCAGAAAATAAAAATACATGTGTGAATGTGAAAGATTTACAAGACTACTCCTTTCTCATGTTGTATGAAGATTGTTTTGACTGCATTAACTTGACAGCTGTAGCCTTTTTGTCATTATATTATAAACACGTATTTGAGATTGGAGTTGCAAAGAAGTTTTTGGCAATATCTTTTCTGGAATCCATGAATTAGAGTTAATGGCCAGATTTTCCCATGGTTCATGGGAGGGAAGGGCACTGAGAAATAACATAGCCATAAGCCAGTACAGTGACCAGGAAACCTTAGATAGCCTGTAAAAGTGGCAACAGGTAGGCGTGACTGTATCTCTCACAGACTTGAGCACCTGGGTTGGGGATGAAGCACAGTGCCTTCCTCCACTCAGATCTCACAGCAAGTGGGAGCTGCAACGTGTTTGATTAGGGTGAAAGGCAGAAGAGGAAGGTTAGGCAGCAGGAGAGCGTGTGGGAGTGTGTGTATTTGGGTGTGTGTCTGTAGGAAGGCTATTACCAGGTGTGTTTTCTTACACATAACCAAATCTTAATTTCTGGTACGACCTGTTGCAACTGTACTAAACATGCAGATTCTCTGCTAAATGTGTAACGGTCACTTTTCCTGTGGCTTCCTCAGGTCTTGGACTTAAACTGGATGTGTACTTTTTTTTTTCCTCTATTTGTATAACAGCAAAAGCGGAAACTGAGACTTTACATCTCCAACACATTTAATCCTGCAAAATCTGACGCTGATGACTCTGATGGCAGTATTGCTTCGTGGGAGCTGCGAGTGGAGGGGAAGCTCCTGGATGACGTATGACTTACCTGTGCTTCACTGGGGCTGGCAAGGATCTAGAGATTGTCCTGTGGGGTGGTGGACTTTACTGAGGACAACAACTCAGACATCTCTGAATGGCAGTGCTGGCTCGTTGCTGCTGGGAAGGCACTATGTCCAGCGAGAGTGAGGGATAAGGCCATAATGGGAATGTTGGGGAGGGGTAGGAAGGGCAGCAGGAAATGGAGCAGACTTAAGGACAGAATGGGAAGGAGGAGGTGGAAAGAACAGGGCTGAGATGATTCCCTTAAAAGATACATCAGGATTCAGGCCTATAGCAGGCATTGAATCTTGTGAAGAGTAGGCTAACAAGAAGCAGCAAGTAGTTCATATTCCTAGGGAAGACAAGAGGATGTATGGATGGTCAGAGCAAGGATGGAAGAAAAGTTTTATCATTCTGAAGTCCCCAGTAATGGATTTAGCTTTCCTTGGGGAAGGCTGGACTTGCCTAATAACGTGTGTCACCTGTTTGAATAGATTTCACAAGCTAAGCATTTGATAGGATAAACAGATTGAGAACATGCATGTATGTAGAGGGCAAGGCTTTCAAGGCACACCTGTCTGTCTGGAGATAACTGTATGTGAATCAGAATCATAATCTTGCTGGAGAATGAAGGGGTGACAAAGTGCAACATCTGGAAATGGAAGTTAGACAAGTTCAGTTTAGAAATTAGAGCATATATTTTAACAAAGAAAGATATTTTTTCTTGGAACAAAATAGCTTCTCAATTACTGGCAAATTTTAAATCAAATGAGGATGTATTTCTGAAAGATTTTCTGCATTAAATAGGAAGAAATTAATTGAAATCCTGTGGACTGTATTTATGGAAAGTCCGATTATGTGATTATAGACCTCCCAGTTTTTAATTTAGACATTATGAGCTGTATAGTGAACAGCAAATACTGATAATTAAATGGAAAGGCAAAATGTTAAAGGAAATACTTAGTGTATGATGAATCTGTAAAATTTACTGTTATCTGATATATCAGACCAAGAAATTAGCATTCATCAAAACCCCCAAGTTCTTAAAGGTATACAGTGGCCTTAGAATCATAGAATGGTTTCAGTTGGAAAGGACCTTAAAGATCATCTAGTCAAACCCCCCTGCCGTGGGCAGGGACATCTTTCACTAGCCCAGGTTGCCCAAAGCTGCATCCAACCCGACCTTGAACGCTTCCAGGGATGGGACATTCACAGCTCCTCTGGGTATCCTGCTCCTGTGTCTTACCACCCTCATCGTAAAAAGGGTCTTCCTTACATCCAGTCTAAACCTACTGTCTTTCAGTTTAAAAGCATTGCCCCTTGACCTGTCACTACAGGCCTTGGCAAAAAGTCCCCATCTTTCTTATAAGCCCCCTTTAAGTATTGAAAGGTTGCAATTAGGTCTCCCCGCAGACTTCTCTTCTCCAGGCTGAACAACCCCAACTCTCTCAGCCTGTCCTCACAGGAGAGGTGCTCCAGCCCTCGGATCAATTTTGTGGCCTCCTCTGGACCTGCTCTCACAGGTGCCTTGTTCACATTACAAGCTAGTCCTTTCCAACAACATTAAGAGAGTCAGGGAAATCTTCCATTAATTGTGCACTGTTCCACCACTGTTGAGATTTTTGTCTGCATTTGTCAGGGAAAACTCAATTGGACTGATCACACTTGTACTCTATATGGGAATTAATGTTCAAGAGAAAGAGGAAGCCTGAGAAGGAAGCATAGAACACAAGCTAATATATGCAGCCTTAAACATTTCTGTTTCTTCTGATTGTACAGCTCAGCAAACAGAAACGGAAATTTTCGTCTTTTTTTAAGAGTTTGGTTATTGAACTGGACAAAGATCTTTATGGACCTGACAACCATCTTGTGGAGGTAAGAATGTCATGTACCCTTTGCATACAAACCTGATAGTAGCACAGGTAAACAGCTACATGCCTGTTGTCTACCTTGTCTAAGTTACCTTGCATTCATTATCTCATTTAAGGTATTTTAAAAGTTTTCAAAATTTCATTATTTTTAAGAATGTTTACTAACAGAATCTATATAGTCTAAAACCATAGATGTAGCAGTGATGTAGTGCACATTTTAGAACAGAATATATGAAATTATGAAAAAATTGTGTGCATTTTTCCTAACAAGTAAAGCACGCTAACAGCAGAACAGATGGTGCACTAAAGCTGAATTGTAAGGGCAGAGCAAGAAATTATTTGAGGGATTGTGGTTTTTGTTTGGGTTTTTTTTTTTTTTAAATTGGAAGATCTTCAGAAGTCTTGTACTTGTCTTATTCTTGCATGGCATACTGTGGAAGATGCACCTCGATGGACATCAGTGAAAAAAAGACCGACTGTCTTACTTGTTTTTTCCTTTGGCAGTGGCACAGAACTCCCACAACCCAGGAAACGGATGGCTTCCAGGTGAAAAGACCCGGTGATGTCAGTGTGCGGTGCACATTACTCCTCATGTTGGACTACCAGGTCAGTGTAGGGCTTTTAGCGTGGAAAATACAGCCATTGAGACATAGCACAACAAAGCAAATTTATCCTGTCACGTACATCAAAAAACAATATGCTTGGACTCAGAATGTTACATAGTCCATTGAGGTTAGAATGATACCAAACTGACAGATTATTTAAAATGTAAAGGAGGCACATCAAGTAAATATCTATTATAGTCTAGCAAAATATTGTTCTTGGCACTATGATAATTACTATTTTTATTGCCCATGTGCAGAGAGAATATGCATTTCCATCTCAGGCTTCTTAGAGAGTAGTCAGATAAGTTGCACATGTGTGTGGTCCTGTACAGAAATTCAAAGGAGTAGCTTTTGCTAGTGGTACCTGAACTAGCTGTGTAGCTGTGGCAGCTTTTCTTTGAGAGCAGACTACACAACTTTCCTGGTTTGTCAAGTTTTGGTTACATTGTCACCCTAATCTGGCATAAGACAACATTGCCCTGCAAGGGTTAGACGTGCCATTACTCTTAGGTCTTTCCTGCTTCCTCTCTTTTGTCAGTATTAGTTCTATTGTACTAGTTGTATTTGTGGGCTGAACATTAATAAGTCAGGGAACTGATCTATTTGAAAGCTAACAAAACTTACTTCCCAATCAGCTCCCTGATCCCAGTCACAGGAAACAAAAAAACCCCAGTAGGCAAAATTAGGTCATTCTGCCTTGGGATAGCATATAAAAGAGAGTCCTGGGCACAGTTTCAAACTGTTTTAAACTGTTGTAAGGCTAAGCTGCTCCAGAAAACCCACTTTCATTTCAGCTGTGGATGTGCATTGCCACAGTCTCCATTCTCTTGGCACAAACGATGGAGATGTGCAGTTGTGGAGCTCACTAATGTGACTGAAACCATCCCTGAAAGAAATGTTGCTGTCTTAAGGATATTGATAGAAATGCACTGCTAAGAAGAGATGGGATCTCCCTTTTCAATGGCAGTTCAGTCTCAGATACATTTTGATTGTATAACCTTAAGAACTCATTCTGTGCCATTCTCTTTCCCCTCCATGCAAATAGCATCTATCCAGGATAAAGACACTCTGTTTTATGTTAACAGAGAGAAAATGTTATTAATTTTAGGGAGTGTATGAGTTAACCAAAATGCTGATATAGGCAGTGAGAATGTTTATTGTTAAGACAATCTAATGATGTTTGTTATGCTCCCCATCGTTATAAATTTGTGCTTTAAAATAGATGTTCTCTTATCCTTAAGTCTTGATTCGTTATTTGTTTTGCTTCGGGTGACCTAGCACCCAACAGAGTAATCCTTGCCTAATAATGCAGCAAATATTAAACTTGAGTATGGGTACACACCTGAAGAGGCACCAAATTCCAGGGTATCCAAGGAATGTATATTACTAGAGATGCAGAACAGAGTAGTTGAAGAGTTGTGTCACAGAGGTCAGGAGAAGAAATACACTCCATTGACAAGTTGTGTTTGGGTAAATTTTCTGTTAGACAGCAGAAAATGATGTGGACGTGCCTGAAAAAACAGACTTCCGAGGTACTTTGTTGATGTGAGGCAGCTGAGCAGTTATTAGCAACAGTAGAAGCATCATACTGACTTCATTCTCTCTATCTGTGGTTAACCTCCAGTAGTTCAGAGTACGGACCATTGTTTTTCTTCTCCCACTTCCTAAAGTCAAATTATGCATCAATGTTGAAAAGGAAAATTCTTTCCTGAGTCTACATGCAAGTTGTTATTATCTAAAGCATGTGCTACAGATAGTCTGTGTGCATAGCATATCTAGAGTCCCCCTCTTTCTTTTCAAACCTTAGACACAGTTCTTCCAGAGCACTGACAGTTGTACACATCTGAGCAACCTGTATTTTTGCAATCTTTGCCATTGAATGGGGTGCTTCTCCTGAGCAACAGTCTCTCGAAAATTAAAGCTGAAACTTCATACCTGTGTATCTGTCTGCTTTTCTCTCTGTTGCTATCTCCATCTCCTTCTCTTTCTGTTACAGCCTCCACAGTTTAAACTGGACCCACGATTAGCCCGTTTGCTGGGGATACACACACAGACCCGATCAGCCATCATCCAGGCTCTCTGGCAGTACATCAAAACAAATAAGCTGCAAGACTCCCATGATAAGGAATACATTAACTGCGACAAGTACTTCCAGCAGGTAACTCCTTTTTGGACACAGTAGCTCTTTAAAGGCAAACTTTAATATCCATCTGCAAATTTTGGATGGATGAAAATTACTGATTTTTTATCTTCCCTTAATGATTTGCAGTATCTTCAGTACTGAATGGCTTTCAACAGTCACTACAACTAATACAATAAGCACCCAGGTGCCAGTGTTGTCAAAAAACCACATCTGGGGGTTCAGTGCTCCCACATAAATCGTGCCCTTTCCAAGAAGGAGGACTTTCTCTAATTGTTTCACTCTTGGTTTACTGTTTCTTTCCCCTTGATGTATCATTTTGTACTAAGAAACATGAAATAATCTGCCGATTCTGATTGCCAAATCATATGTAGACCTGCTTTCTTCCCTTCTTTTTCCCTGTTTATGAAGGGCAGAAGACATGGAAGATATAATTAGAAAGGTTATTTTTTCCGAAGTCTGCTTCAGATTATAAAATACCCTCAACGTTCTACATGATGTTTTGAAAGTAGCACGTTAAGACTTTATGTCTTTCACAATGACCTCTAGAATTAACCAAGAAGGCCACTTAAAGGCATCTCCACCTTTTCTGTAAATATGATTATATTTATTTTGTAAAGGTAATGTTATCTGAGGTAGGTAAACTATCTTAATTGTTAAAGGTAAACTATCTTAATTGGCTTTGTTTTTCTGTAGCTTCAGGCTTGCGTAATTTATTTTGAAAGTACGGGTTTGCGACATAGTCCTATTTAGGGAAAGTACTGGCAGGTATAATAAACAAATTATGTTTTAGGGAGCATTGAAAGTAAATGTTGAAATGAAAGTTGTGTCCTAGTTTTCTTTTTAAGGTTTTATTTTTTGTTATTAATTTGCCCTACAAAAGTTTAAAGTGACCAATGCTTGAAATAAACTTAAAGGCAGCACTGGGTTTTTCCACATTTGAAAATACAAAATATAACAAAGTAATTGGGGGATTCGTGGGTATTTTTAGGAATATAGAACCAAAGTGATCTGGATTATATAGTCACTCTCTTGTTTGAGTGTTTTTTTTGAGAATTACAGCATGCAGTCTTTTTCATATATAGTGAAAATTCCATCTTAAAACCACATAAGAATTTTTAGCAAAATTACAAAGCTGTTCACTCTGTTGCTTAGATGATTTGATTTCCATTCTCTATTTATCCATAGTCAATTTAGACTCAATTTTGTTTGTGCCAGCCCAAAGAGGAAATGGAAAAGGGGAGGTGAAAAAGATTTGAAAAATCATGAGCAGAATGGAAAAGGTGAACAAGGAGTAATTATTGTTTATTTTGGTAAATAATTAGAGGCCACCGGCTGATACTGGCAGGTAGCAAATTAAAAACAAACAAAAGGAATCGAGCATAGTTAAACTTTGGAACTCCTTGTGATAGGACATTGCAAATGCTAAAAGTGTATATAGGTTCCAAAAGTGACAAACAAATGGAAAAGAAAAAAATCTTGGGCTGTTCTAAATGCAAAGAAACTGCAAAGCTGTGGAGATTGGGAGAGCTTTTTGGGAAGGACCAGTAAATGTTTCTCCTGTTCTTACATTTTTCCTTTAGTATCCACTTTTGGCCACTATCAAGAGCAGGATAGTGTAGTAGATGTGTAGTAGTAGATCTTTTGTCTAATCCAGTACAGCAGTTCATACCTTACTTATGGTAAGCAGGAGGGCCTTCTCACTTTCTTTTATTTTAATTTTCAGCTTAAGAACTTTGCTAGACTAAGAGCTTGCTGGAGCTATCTTCTCTTTGTGTATCTCATCACAGGCTTATTAGCTAATAGGTCTCCTTTGTGTTAGAACTCCTCAGGAATACCATCAGATCTGGTAATTGTCTTCCCATTCTCAGAAGATTAGTCAGATCAGAGAGTCGAGAAGTAGCAGATTCCTTTTCTAGGAGACTGAACCTCACTCCCTGCAAGAGCCGGCTAATCTGGAGTAGTTTCATAAGAATGCAGTGCTCGCATAGATTTAAATCATTAATAGGATTGATTTGAGTGTTTCTGTTTTCCTTAGGTCTCTGGTAAAATTGTCCTAAGTAGCTAATCTTGCTTTCAGAACTAATGCTAATACTTAGGAAAATGAATGCCATTAAATCAAATGAAACATTTCATTATGAGTTTGTTTTGGTTTTCACCCTAATACTCTAAGATTGAGATATGGAGGGTAAAGGAATTGGATTAGGAGTGCCTTCCAGTCTGATGATATTTCTGTAGACTATATAGGTTTAGGCATGTAACTCCTGCAAAAAATCATGGTCATAGCTGGAAGTGCGCAGGTCACACAGGGGAGCAGTACCTAGCGCATCAGTGTCTCTAGCATTCCCTTTTAGATACTGGTCTTCTCATTTGGTATGCCAGCTTTTCTAAATTCTATGCTGGTGTGCTTGTGGTTGTATCTAATGACACAATACAGACTAAAAAATTATCACTGAATGAGTTACTGCACACACCAGAATTACTATAGCCATATAGGCTTTCAGAGCCAGTGGTTGTAAGTTTAGACAGTTAACTCCAGTTAGGTAGGAATGTGATAAGCTTTAGGAAAATTCCATCTAGCCTTAGTTTCCAGTCTCCAACCCCTTCTCTCACTATTGTGTGGCCTTGCTCCCTTTTTCCTTCTTAAAGCTCTTGTCTTTTGGGCATCCTTGTTAGGAGTTTGACATGGGTCTTGAGCCAGTGGTGACAGCAGATTGGATGGAGCTTGCTATGCAAAGATTTTGAGTTGGGAATTCCACAGTCATCTCTAATGAGTGTCAGAATTCAGAACTGAAATAAAGAGTGAGTTGCAGACTCAGTAGATTTGGTTATTTTCTTGCTCTTTAGAAATCAGCTGACTGAATTCCTGGATGCAGGTAAGTCCAGCAAATTAGACAGATTTTAGAGTTGATGAAGAAGGATCCTTTTCTGTTGAGAAACACTGTTTATGTCAGCTGGGAAATTTGAAATCCACTGTGTTACAAGCGAAAGAAAGAAAAAAAAGTCCAAAGGTATTTCAAAAGCCAGAGCTGGCTTCTAGGTATTTCTGCTACCAAATTCCCTTACTCCGGAAAATTATGAATTTCAGAAGATACTCTGTCTGAGGAACCACAGCATCCTAGTTGAACAGTCTGACTGTATGTCCATTCTACAATCTGATAGTCCATTCTTTTCAATCCTGCCTGGATCCTTTGTCTCTAGAGCTGCCAAGCATGTTTCTGTTTATAGATGCACTACTACAAGTAGTATCTCTGTTCTGTCAGGTGGAAATAGTTTCCCTAAGAGGCATTTGCATTTGCCTCAGCATTTTTACAAATTGCCTTCACATAACGGCATGTTTTAAGGCAAATGTTAATATATAGATAGTTGGGGTGTGTGTGTGTTGTCAGTTTAAATGGAATATCTTTAGAGAAAAGCCTATTCATCTATTAAGAGCATTAAAAATCCCAGTAGGAAAAAAAGGCTGTAATAATTATATTTTTGAAAACTCCAGGTGTAAGGAGTGGTTCTAGATTCCTGGCAACACACTGCAATTACACACAGAAAATTTCCAAAAACTACAGATTTTGATCCTTTTCAAAAGATTCGGGTTTTTTTTTTTTTTTAATTCAGTACATACTTAGCTTCTGGACCATAGTAAGGAGAAGGTAACCATGAGATGTTGATTGGAAAGGAGTGGATTCCTTCCAAGAGGCTGTTTAGGTTTTGGTTAAAAATAAGTAAAACCATGCTGACTTTTTTTTTTCCTTAATCTTTAAAAAAAAAAAAAAATTGCAAATGGTTTTAAAATCCAAAAATGTTTTCTTGTATTTTTCTTTAGCACAAAATATTGCGGGAAACATGCCTTGGGGAAAAAAGCAAACTGTGTTTATATTTCCTCTGGTTAAAAAAATAAAAAAATTGTTTTCTTTACAATATGCTGCTGCAAACCCTTAGTGGAAGAGGAAGTGTTCACTTCTCCCCATCAGTGATACAGTTGATCCTGATTTCCCATTAAAGTGGCCTGTGCCCTACAGCAGCTAAACCAAAAGCGGGACACCTAAATTGCCATCATCTGATGCATCTGTCAGCTAGCCCAGATTGTAAATACAGCAGCAATTCTCAAGGACAGAAGTGACCAAAAATTTATTCTGTGCAAGGAGGCAGAATTGTAGCTTCCAAAATCACCTTATTTTTGAACTGTTGGTTTCTTACTTTCTCATTTAATTGCAAGTTAGGTTTTGGGCAAGGATAATGTGCTTTCTTGTATTCCAGATCTTTGACTGTCCACGACTAAAGTTTTCTGAAATTCCTCAGAGACTCACTAACCTGCTGCTGCCACCAGACCCTATAGTGATAAACCATATAATCAGGTAAGCTGGTCAGTCAGCTCAGCACTGTCACGTGCAAAACACTCACTATAGAAAAATACAGAAACAGCTACAATAGCAGGGACCAGAATCCAATTTTTAGAACTTCCAGTACCATGGACTTTGTTGTGTGTTCATTCTCTGTGTCATTCTGGGCTATATAATTCTGAATTATTTTCAATTGAATGGCACCGATTCTCTAGGAGCATGCAAAACTTCTTCTTATTGTTTTTATCGCTACTAGAATACCATTGAGAGAGTTGGTCAGGTTTCTCTCCTAAGGGGAGAGGAATGAGAGTTTGAATCCACTTAGAGGGGAAAAAAGGGAAATGAAGTAAGATATTGTATATCATGGGCAACCATTCTAATCACTGGGTTATTATGTAAAATGTACAACAGTATTATAGTTTCAAATACAGTGGTCAGTCCATGCATGCTTTTGTTGGGATGCCTTAGATTCAGAGAAGGCCATTGTGACCGAGATAGCAAGCTTCTGGCATCCTTGTCAAAACAGATGTATTTCTGACATAGTAGATCGAATACAACTTTCAGCTATCTATGGCACTTCCAGCACATTCCATATTTAAGTGACAACTGTGTGTCTGTGGGAGGGAGATAAAGAGACTTTTGGGGATTGCAACCTTGTTAAGACATTTCAGTCTTTCCCAAGTTCCTTTGTGGTCTTGGTCAAAACTCTGATGGTGGGTGTTTAAACATTATTGTTAATTGAGTGTACTGATTTGATTTCTTACAGAATATTGACAACAAATATTTCTGAATATGCTTAAAATTGTATTCTTTATTTTAAATTTGCAATATATGTGATAAGTTTAAATACTACATAGGCTATCAAAATAAAACTTGCTTTTCAATTCATTTGAATATATAGAACAGGCTAATCAAAAAGCAACTTGACTACCATGCAGATTGGTAGCTATACTCAGTGACCTGTCTGATGGACCAAAAAAAGCTGAGGTCCTCAGAGGTACACAGTCATTTTCTCGGAGAAAAATGACAAGGAACTGATGGTTATGTTTCCAGGGGCAGAGAGATGGCAAAAGAGGTTCTGGAGGCGATATGTTTTCTGTTAGACACAAGCTAAAGAGCAGGACCTTGTGTATCGTAGCATTCTCTGATACACTGTGTGCACCACACAGCACCTGACAGCACTCCACTGCACTGATGTAATGCTGAGGAAAGGGGAAGTACTGATTTCCTGAGAATAGGGAATACTTTTGCAATAGAGTCTTTACAGTCTCAAGCTAAGCTAAAATAAATCTGGAAGTCTGGCACTGAATTTAAAGGAAGTAAGTAATTTTTAGACTCATAAAATCACAGAATAATATACAGTAACAGGGATTGCTGGTGGTCATCTAGAGCTCCCCCCTCCCAACTCAAAGCAGGTTCAAATTATGTCAGGATGCTTAGCTGCTAGTCCAGTTGAGTTTTTAACAGATTCCCACAGTCTCACTTCTGTACCCTCAGCCTCCTCACTAGCAGTGCAGTATGAGGAGCAGAAAAGGCCTAGACTGTGTAAGCACTGCTGAGCAATAACTAAAACATCTCTGTATTATCAACACTGTTTCCAGCACAGATCCAAAACACAGCCCCATACTAGCTACTATGACTGCCATGAACTCCATCCCAGCCAAAACCAGCACAATGCTACAGGGAATTTTCCATCACTAGTGATTTTAAATATATGTGCTCTTAATTCAGATAAATCCTCAAGCCTGTCTTTTACAAGGTCAGCTAGATCACAATTACTCATTTTAGTTTTAGAATATGTGTAGAGAGACTAAAATGTGAAGTATTCTAAACTAATTCTAGAAGTAATAGTATTTTTAGAACCACTCTTCAGACATCAACCACCCCTCCCCCCTTTTTGAAAAAGAAAACAAAAAATGCAATGAGGTTGAAGTGAAAATATTCACTTGATGAACAGAAAATGAACAGAGATGAACAAAAAGCCTCTAATCTTGGTAAATATTTTAAATATTAGGTACACTCAAAGACAATAGAGAATGCAATTAAAAAATACAGAGTGTATAATAGTTTCAGATCTCTGCAATACTGAATGCATGAAATTTAAAACTGGTAGAAAGCAGATTTTCTTACCTGAGCTCAAGCTGGAGCTTTTCTTGAGTTGCACTCCTTATTGCAGCTGACTTGAAATCAGAGGTATAAAAAGAAACATTGGTGCAATTTCCCATTTCTGCAAAGAAGCAAGCCATCTCCCATGCTATTAACATTACACAAGTAGACTACAAAGCATAGATGTCCAATATTCTCCTATGGCAAATAGGTTAGCTCTTGATTTCCTCCTTTTGACTACCATTATGATTTTTAAAAAAAAAAAACAAACTTCCTTATACTGAGTTGATTGCCCGTGTCACAGTGAGTTTCTATTGCCTCTCATCCTACTGTTGTGCACCTCCA